TCTGTTTGGGGTGGTGGTTTTTTTCTGTGGGTTGAGGTGGTGGATGTGACTTTAGGTGGTTGTTGTAGCTTAGGGTGGTGGTTGCGGCATATTTTGTTGCAAATTTTATTTATGTAACTTTGTTTTTTTTATCAAAGTAATACAATGACTAAGACCAAAAAGCCTGGTACGCCAGCATTGTGAAATAAAAAAACCAAAATAATATTTTGTGACTTTTACCTCAATGAGAATGATCTGGGAAATAGGTCTACTAACTATTTCAACAAGAAAGAGCGACAAAATATTATAAAAAAATTCAAGAAAAGTACAGACATACGACAGGATGCAGGGATTAACTCAAAAAAGATTGAAAAATTTGGAAGAAATTAAAATGAAGATCAACACGCTTGGGGTGAGATCTGGTGAAGAGAATCATTGATGCTCTCGAGGAGTGGTGGGCAGAAAGCCTTGCGTAAAACATTTTTGAGATGTCCCATAATTTTGTCAATTTCAATTTTTTTTTTAAATTGAAGTGTATGTTATGAATTTGTAGGTGATGCACACTGAAAAGAAATTAAAAAATTGTGGACTTGATCCTTAGTTGTAGGAGAAGTTAGATTGAATTTTTGGGGGTGTTGTTGCTATAGACAACTATGCACGTGCCCCTAGTGAGCCACGGTTTGGTGACAGCCCCGAAAACTTTGGAGTTGGTCGATCAGGTGAATTAACCTTATTCTCCAGCCCAGACCTCCATGAACTTGGGTCCACCCCACGTTCTAAGTGTCCGCGGGTTGAGAGAAAAGAAAAATTGGGGCTGCTTTCCTTAGAAGCCAGATATCATAGTTGGTGTCTTCTTACAGCGTTGAACCCCAACGCACATCTAACAAATTCTATCGACCAGGTCCTGTAAATTATGAATGCAACTGGGGAAATTTCTGAGGATGAACCACTGTACTTGTTTGTGATCCACCCTATAGCGATAAGTGGTGATAATGTAAGTCCTGGTATTGACACAAACACATGATCCGCTCTCTAGCAAATCAATTGAGTTCTTAAAATTAGTTATGATTACTCACTGGGGTTTCTCACGCAAGTATACGTATCATTTCAATAATATAGGTCTCTCTTGAGTCCAGATTATCGATCTCACAGGGAAGTGGATAATGAGTCCCTAAGGTGAAGTCCTAGTTTACTACTATAAGGTCTTAATTTTGAATGCAAATTGCAATGATTTTTCTAAAAAGTACTCCTAATATATGTCACTAAATCTAAAGCTAAATCTAACTAGATCAATTAGTTTTGTGAATTGCAAGATGTTAAAGCTATCTTTCTCTTGTGATTGCCTAAGTAGATTGTAAGATAGAATACCAAGAATTTCTAATTTTTCTAGTGACAAATAGAAGCATATGTCTTGTTTACCCTCTTCCAAGTTTTTAAAGAAGTTAGGTTTAACTAGGCAAGCGTTTCTTCCTATCACCCTAGAAACTCCCAAGTTATACCCCTCAAATCCTATCTCCCTATCTATTTGCATCGACCTATGGTTTGTTTTTCCTTCACTTACTAGATCAATGTGGTTCTTCCTAGTTGAAGAAGTCATAGGCCTCCCGGTTCTTTATGGGTTCCCAACAGATTTTAACATACCAATTGACAAGATTGATAAGTCAATTAAGCATGAAGTAAAGACCATCACATTAAGATTAAAATCAAGTTCTAAAAGCATTCAACACATCCTACAATTCCTACATATTCATCACAAGAGAAAGACAAGCGAAATCTACTTACAAAACATGAATTTTGCAATGGAAATCATCATCATATAATAAAACAAAACACTAAACATATGTCTACAACAAGTCCATGACAAATCGAAATAATATACTTAGCTTTTCTCCTATGAAAAGAGATTCTAAGTCCTTCCTACAATGTTGCAATGCTTCCCTTACAAAGTTCTTTCTAACACCTCACTAATCTCCCTAAGAAATAGAAAATAAAGATAATCAAACTATAGCTATGACCACTCTTTTTCCTTCTCCTTCGGCTTCAGAATGATGAACAAGAGTCCCCTTTGAACTACTCGTCAACTCCCTTACAGCTCCTAAGATGCATGAAATGAACTATAGAAACTGCCCAGTAACTGGCCATTGCTTTGGCGCTCAGAAGTTGGCGCCTAGGCGTCGACCTCTCGGATTGACTTGAGTGGAGTGCCTTGGCACTCAGAGTCTGGCACTTAGGTGCCAGACTAATAAACTCTAAATGCTCCATTTCAGCTTCTTTTTGCTCCATTTCAACTCTGCTTCGTTCCATGCATTCTACCTACTTTACCTGCAGGAAAACCATGGAAATACATTTCTTTAAAGTGCAATCTCATCCAAAAAAAAGTGTTAAATGTAAAGAAAAATGAGCATGCTAAAGGACACATAAAAATCCCCCAAACTTAAAACGGAACCATTTGCAAGTACAAAATGAGGTTAGTAGCTCAAGGCTACAAGCAAGAGTTTGGCCTATACCACACCGAAACTTTTAGCCCTTTGGCTAAACATCCCACAATCTTAACTCTTCTAACCGTCTCCGTTAATTGCCAATGGCCCATCTTCCAGTTGGACGTCACCAACGCAGTTCTCCACGATGATTTTCAAGAAACAATCTACATGCATCAACTGACGGGATTGGTTGAGGACACCCAACCAAATAATGTTTGCCTACTACGAAAAGCAATATATGGACTAAAGCAATTGCCGCACCAATGGTTTACTAATTTCACCGGCAAACTATCTCATTTCTCATCTTGGCTTCTGCAAAAGTCGAGCTAATCCATCCCACTTCATATATGAGAATAACGCCACTACTATTTACCTACTAATATATGTTGGTGATTGACATTTTAGTGATAGGAATTAACATAAGCAAGATAACAATCTCTTGGCAGCACTCAAAACATAATTCCTCGTGAAGAATTTGGCTTTGTTTCAACATTTCTCGGGATCAACATACAACACACACCAAGAGGTCTCTTTCTTAACCAAACCCACTACGCATCAGAGACTCTCCAAAAGGTATGCAGGGAAGATTGCAAACCTATACAAAACCCGATGGCGTCAACGCAATCTGTCAACTTTGAACTTCAACAACCTTCACCAATCCACTTCATTACAGCAACCTCATAGGCTCTCTACATTATCTGACACTCACTACATCAACTTTGCAGTCAATACCTTATCTCAACACTTACAACAACTGCTATATGCACACTTCTAACAACTCAAACATTTCCTCTGGTACATTAAAGTAACACTAAACTTTGGTATTCCCATTCAACAAGTACCTGTTATTTTCTATAGTTATTCTGACTCCGGTTGGGCTAGCGATCCAATGGACCGTCGCTCCTTTACAAGCCACTGCTCATTCCTCGGCCCTAATCTTATCTCTAGGCAAGTAAAGAAACAACCCAACGTGGCTCGTTACTTGACCGAAGACGAATATCGAGCACTGTCTATAGCAACAACATATGTCATATGGCTACGACACTTACTTATCGATCTTCATCTGTCGTTTCTATCTCCCAGTGCAATTCATTATGACAACACATCGGCCCTGGCAATAGTTTACAACCCCATCTTCCACTTCCGTACGAAACATACCGAGATAGATTACAATTTCATTGGAGAAAAAGTTCAGTCCAAAGAAGTTGCAGTTGAACACATCTCCACAAGTGCGCAGCCCGTAGACATTCACGAAGTTAATTTTGTCAAGCCCGTAGACATTCGGAATTCCGTCGAACACCGTGCTTCCTTCTTCTTCGAGACAAGCTAGCCCATAGCAGCTGGCCTACTCCCCATAGCAGCAAGGAAGCCTCCACTACCCACAGTTATCCTCGTGTGTAATCTTAGGCCACATTTGGGGTGGCATTCGGGCCACTTACCAATATCTCTATCTAGAATGTTCTACTTAATTTATCATCATGTGTAATCTTAGCCTTATTACTGTAATACCCTTATCTATATCTCTATCTAGAATATTCTACTTAGTTTATAAAAATCCTGAAGGGAAATCAATATTAAGAAATGCATTTACTCTTGCTCCTCCTGTAGCTTCCTATTACGTAAGAATGGCCTATATGCTTCACTTCTCTTTCACTCCGCACTCTTCACTTCACACACACACACACACACACACACA